TTTAGTAGAGACGGGGTTTCACTGTGTCAGCCAGGATGGTCTCGATCTCCTGACCTCGCGATCTGCCCGTCTCGGCCTCCCAAAGTGCTGGGAATACAGGCGTGAGCCACCGCGCCCGGCTGCCACTGGGATTCTTAAAGACTTGAAAGGGAAAGGGTACCTTCGAGAAAAAGCAGGATTGCCAAACCACCTCTTCCCATCTGGGAATCTCCTCCAGGACCAAGTCTTGTACTTAATTCTAATTCTGCTTATCACGTTTCCCTCCCCACCCCTATCCCCAACAGCATGGAAGATGCTGGCGCTGCATCTCCTCCAGCACTGGGAAGCCTCAAGGCCCCAGGGCGCGGAAGCAGGGTTCAGGCACAGCCGCGGGAACGCCCACACCCAGTCCCGTCACACCGTAAGACATCTCTGCGGCATCAACCTCGCGCAGGCCTGGCGGGCCTGAACACGGCGACACGGAAACTCAAGCCCGCGGCTCTACGGCTCGGGCAAGAGGAGGGAACCAAGGGGACCCACACGGCGCTCCTCAGGGAGAAGACCCCAGGCTCGGGTCCGAGGTGGGCTCGCTGGAAAGACGCTGCAGCCTCGCGGGGGCGGCCGTGGCTGCCTCCGGGACACGGGCTAGCCAAGGCCCCGCTCCTGGACGCCCTGCGGGGCGGGCCGCGGCCTGCGGACCCCGCCCGGCCCTCCCGGCGGACTCTGCCCCGGCAAGGCCGCCGGGCTCCGGAGCCAGCCGGGGCTGCAGCTAAGGCGTTGCCCGCCCCCGCCCGGAACGCGCCACTCACCCGGCGCAGGCTGGGAGAGGACGGCGCCAGCCCGACCCCGCAGCCGTTGACTGGACCCCGCGGGCGCGGGCTCCGCAAACCCGCCGACAAAGCCCGCACCTCAGCCAGCCCTCCGCGACCGGAAGTCGCGAGAAGCCCCGCCTGGGAAACTTCCGGTGGCGCTCTAGGAGCGCTACGGATCGGCTCCCCTCTCGGTGGTGCGATCTTCCGGGCGCGGGAACTAAGATCCCGGGAGGGTCGCGGGGCGTGCGGCGGGCGCGGCATCGTTACGCGGTTGAGAGGATTGCGGGCCGGGAAGCGCGGGCTCCGAAACTCGGGTCTGGACCTCGCGGCGAGGCCCGGCCGCAGCTCAAGACCAGCCTCTCAGGAGGCGAGGACCCAGGGGAAGTAAATACCGTGAGGGCCAAACTTTACCTCCTTCTGCGCCCCAGAGAGGTGGGGAAGCGGCGCGCTGTGCGGTGTTTTGGTTTTTTTAAGACAGGGTCTCTCTCTGTCGCCCAGGCTGCAGTGCAGTGGCGCGATCTCGGCTCACTGCAGCCTCGACCTCCCGGGCTCAGGTGGTCCTCCCGTCTCGGCTTCCCAAAGTGCTGGGACCACAGGCGCGCGCCACCGCGCCGGCTCCTTGATTCTTGGTAGACATTACTCATTGCTGGAATGAGTCACAGTCCGAACCAATTACATTCCCCTGCCCCCACCAAAAAAAATTATATTCGTATTTTTGGTTTTCTTTTTCCATTTTTCTGCTAGCACTGAGGAAACTTGTTTACCTAAATTGTTAGATGGGATTGGGAGGAATTTTGTTTTAGCAATGACACTCAGTTTTGTTTTTGTTTTTTTTCCAGACGGAGTCTCGCCTGTCGCCAGGCTGTAGTGCTGGAATGCAGGGCTCACTGCAACCTACGGCTCCCTGATTCAAGCGATTCTCCTGCCTCAGCCTCTGGAGTAGCTGGGATTACAGGCACACGCCACCACGCACAGCTAATTTTTGTATTTTTAGTAGAGACAGTTTCACCATGTTGGCCAGGATGATCTTGATCTCCTGATCTCGTGATCCGCCCGCCTTGGCCTCCTAAAGTGCTGGGATTACAGGTGTGAGCCACTGTGCCCAGCCGACTCTCAATTTCTTTAGCTCCTTCTGACTTACATTCAAAAAACATAACAGCAGTTTATCACCAAGTGTACGTAATGACCTGTCAGTTGACCACTTGAATAGGTCCTTTTTACATTTTGACAGAAGCAAACAAAGAATGAGAAGTAACCTAAAGTGCAAAACTACATTAAGTCTTTCCCAGCCAATAAATTCACCTACTTTCTTAAAATCAACTGCAGAGTTTTGAATTATCCCTTTGATGAGGAGGACAGCCCAGGTACCAGGGCCAGGTACCAGGGTGAACAAAGGAAGAGAAGCAACATGGGAGAAGGAGCTGTGGCCAAGGGGACACGCTAGGCGCGTGCCCTCATCCAAAGACTGTCTACAGGAATTCCAGGACAGAGTCCATGTGAAAGTCCTGCTGTGATTCTCCAGGGGCTCCCGACTCTTGGAAAAGCTTCTGCGTTCCAGGGCTGTGTGTGAAAGCCCTGTATTGAGCAACCCCACCTTTCATCCAGGCTCGGAGACCTCAGCTGCTGCAACCCTATTGCCAGCTTACCATGGGACCCAGCTCTTAAGGCAAGAAGGGCTTGGGGCCTCTTCCCCACAAGGCTTACAGACCTTTCAGCCTCTCTGTCTGCAGGCCCAAAGAGCTTGAGAACACCACGTGAGTAGGTTGTCACAGATCAACATCTGCCTTGTACACCTGACAAATGCCACTTCAACCCCACCAACAGCTAACACATGGCTGCATCTTGGCACTTAATACTTTGAGTTTACTTGTTTGGTACTGATTGTCCCTCCCAGTAGAAAGGAAGCTCCGTGAGGTCAGGGACCCCCGTCTCGTTCCATGTCTAGCCCAGTGCTTGGCCCCTGTGAACGTCAGCAACTGTGGTGGATGCTGTGATGAGAGGCCCAGGGAGACCCCTCCAGTGACAGGCTGGGTGTCCTAGTTGTTCGGGGTGTGGTAAGCAGTCTTCAGCCATCAGCTGCAACTCGCCAGGGTTACACTGTTGCCTGGGACAGCTCATGTTGCAAAGTCCTGGCCATCTTGGTCCAACCGAGGACAGCCCTGAGAGCCACTTCTGTTGCAGAGCTCCCTGCAGGGAATCAGTATCTGCTATGCTTGATGGCATCACAGCCTGACTCCTGCCTCTTGTGTCTTCCTCTCCACAGGCCCAATACCACTCCGTGATAAGTCTGCCCTGCTTAGGAATGCCCTTGAGCCACAACAGCTTTGTCAGGTGACTTCTAATATTATCTCCATTTTATAGATGAGGAAACTGAGAAATAGAGAAGCCAAATGACTCACCTAACGCATCAGCCAGGACATGCTGGAGGAGTCCACAGGTGTGGCCATCTGCTGCCAAAGCCCTTGACCTACAGCAAATACAAAGCCAAAACCAGGGGGTGCAGCTGGAAGGCAAAAGGCCCGAGGGGAGGCTGCCATGCAAGATGAGGCTGATGCTGTTGCCATAACCAGAGCTCAAGAAAGGAAAGCTGTCCAAAGAAACTGCATTTAGCCAAAAAGGGAATTTGTAGGGATTTGAGGGCACGGAGCCATTCTGAAGACAAAGCAGAAATTCTGATAAAAGATCCTAAAACAGTTTCAAGCTATCTGGGATGTGGAGTTTGGAAACAGGCCATGGGTGGTCTTGGTGTGAGAGCAAGCACAAAACTGTCTGGGAAAGTCCCGGGGAAGGCCACTGTGCCTTCAGGCCATGAGCAGAGCTTTCCTGCTTTGGGCAAATGGAGTCTGGGGATAAGTTGATATGAATGGAGGACTGAAGACAACTTGGGAATTAGCCTTTCCGAGATAACTGGGTGGGGCAGATTGTGCGGTCCAAGCCACACAGGAAGCTCACGCGGGCTTCTGAGCAGGAGTGTGACAAAAGCCAAATGATGCTGGAAAGTGATGCTGGCTGCGAAGTGACCACAGAGGACAGGATGAGGACGGTGGCAATCGCAGCCCCACAGAAGAGCAGCTGGGGTGAGACTGGACTGAGCCAGGAAGGAGAGGTGGGGGACCGGCTCTGAAGGCTGAGGGAGGGTCCACAGGAGGGTGGGGAGTGGACAGGAAACTGACATCCATGGTGACGCAGGGTGGGGCAGGTGGGAGAAAGGTAAAAGAAGAACAGAAGGCCACTTTGGGGCATAAGTTTGAGACCTTGTTGCTAAGTGAGGCCAAACAATTAAAAGATTTTTTAAATCTTCTGGTAGCTGGAGAGGAACCTGAGACAAGAGCAGATGGGAGTTGTGGCAGTAGTGGCTATCTTGAGGGACAGACCCCAGGAGGAAATGAGAGATGCGTGCAAGGAGGAGCATCGCTGAGCCCACGCTGGACTCAGGATGGATGAGACAGAGGTGGACTCAGGTGCCTGCAGGTGGAGAGAGAAGGTGGGGGTGGCCTGGAGGCAGGTCTCTTCTGACTATTGCAAAGCACATCCAAAAGTAAATGATGCCAGGTGCGGTGGCTCTTGCCTGTAATCCCAGCACTTTGGGAGGCTGAAGCAGGCAGATCAGCTGGACCAATGTGATGAAACCTCGTCTCTACTAAAAATACAAAAATTAGCTGGGTGTGGTGGCATGCACCTGTAATCCCAGCTACTTGGGAGGCTGAGGCAGGAGAATTGCTTGAACCTGGGAGGCGGAGGTTGCAGTGAGCCAAGATCATGCCATTGCACTCCAGCCTGGGCAACAAGAGTAGAACTCTGTCTCTAAAAAAGAAAATGAGGTAGGAGGTGGAGCTCAACTCCGGAGGCGGGGCTTGGACACGGGACCAAACTGAGGACTAGCTAAAACAGGTCCAGGGCAGAAGAGCCTCCCATGAGGCACACCAACCAGTGTGCCATGTCAGTTTACCATTGCCGTAACAGCACCGGAAGCTCCTGCCTCTTTCCATGGCAACAACCAGACAATGCGGAACTTACCACGCTAATTGTAGAAATTTCTTTCTTTTTTTTTTTTGAGATGGAGTCTCTCTCTTGCCCAGGCTGGAGTGCAGTGGCGTGATAATCTGCTCAGTGCAAGCTCTGCTTCCCGGGTTCACGCCATTCTCCTACCTCAGCCTCGTGAGTAGCTGGGACTAAGGAAGGAGACCACTACTACTCCTGCTGCCCTCCTCCCCGCACCTTGCCTAGTTCACAAGACAGGAGTAAAGAGAAAAAGAAACAAAAGTAAGACAAATAGCCAGACAACCTTGGCACCACTACCCGGCCCTAGGAGTTAAACAAAGTAATAATAATAACATCAACCCCTGGCCTAAACTACTTGTGTTATCTGTAAATTCCAGGCACTGTATGAAAAAAGCATTGTAAAACTTTTTGTTCTGTTAGCTGATGCATGTAGCCCCCAGTCACGTTTCCCACACTTGCTCGATTTATCATGACCCTTTCACGTGGACCCCTTAAAGTTGTAAGCCTTTAAAAAGGCCAGGTATGGCTGGGCGCGGTGGCTCAAGCCTGTAATCCCAGCACTTTGGGAGGCCGAGATGGGTGGATCACGAGGTCAGGAGATCCAGACCATGCTGGCTAACACGGTGAAACCCCGTCTCTACTAAAAAATACAAAAAATTAGCCGGGCGAGGTGGCGGGCGCCTGTGGTCCCAGCTACTCGGGAGGCTGAGGCGGGAGAATGGCGTGAACCCAGGAGGCGGAGCTTGCAGTGAGCTGAGATCCGGCCACTGCACTCCAGCCTGGGCAACAGAGCGAGACTCCGTCTCAAAAAAAAATAAAAAATAAAAATAAAAAGGCCAGGTATTTCTTTCTCAGAGAGCTTGGCTCTTAAGACACGAGTTTGCCGACGCTCCCGGCCGAATAAAAAATCTCTTCCTTCTTTAATCCGGTGTCTGAGGAGTTTTATCTGCGGCTTGTCCTGCTACAGGACTATAGGCGCCTGCTACCACGCCTGGCTAATTTTTTGTATTTTTGGTAGAGACGGGGTTTCGCTATCTTGGTCAGGCTGTTCTTGAATTCCTGACCTAAGGAAATCCGCCCGCCTCGACCTCCCAAAGTGGTGGGATTACAGGTGTGAGCCTTTTTTTTTTTTTTTTTTTTTGGTGAGACAGAGTCTCACTCTACAGAAATTCCTTTTTTTTTTTTTTTGAGACAGGATCTCACTCTGTTGCCCACTCTGTTGGAGTGCAATGGTGTGGTCTCAGCTCACTGCAGCCTCTGCCTCCCGGGTTCAAGTGATTCTCTTGCCTCAGCTTCCCAAATAGTGGGACTACAGGCGTAGGCTACCACACCTGGCTAATTTTTGTATTTTTAGTAGAGATGGGTTTTCGCCATGTTGGCCAGGCTGGTCTTGAACGCCCAACCTCAGATGATCTGCCTGCCTTAGCCTCCCAAAGTGCTGGGATTACAGGCATGAGCTACCTCACCTGGCCTAACTCTAGAAATTTCTGCATAAGATATCCCTTAATTTGCATATGATTAAAAGTGGGTATACATATGACTGCAGAAGTGCCTCTGAGTTGCTTTTCTGGGCTCACTCCTATAGGGTAGCCCTGCTCTGCAAGGAGCAGTCCCTGTGCTGCTGCTGTACATGGCCACTTCCGTCAAAGATGCTATCTAACACCATGGGCTCGCTCTTGAAATCTTTCCTGGGCAAAGCCAAGAATCCTCACGGGCTAAGCCACAATTTGGGGACTCGCCTGCCCTTTATCAAAAATATTTTTTTTAAGAGCTCTGGCCGGGCGCGGTGGCCCTCGCCTCTAATCCTAAAACTTTGGGAGGCTGGGGCGGGCAGATCGCCTGAGGTCAGGAGTTCGAGACCAGCCTGGCTAACATGGTGAAACCCCATCTCTACTAAAAATACAAAATTAGCTGGGCGTGGTGGTGTGCACCTATAATACCAGCTACTTGGGAGGCTGAGGCAGGAGAATCGCTTGAAGCCAGGAGGTGAAGGTTGCGGTGAGCCAAGATCTTGCCACTGAACTCCAGCCTGGGCGACAGAGTGAGACTCCCATCTACAAAAAAAAAAAAAAAAAACCTCTATGGTCAAAAGTTGGCTTAATTGTTTTTTTTGTTTTTTTTTGTTTTTTTTTTTGTTTGTTTTTTTTGTTTGTTTGTTTGTTTGTTTTTTGAGACGGAGTCTCGCTGTGTCTCCCAGGCTGGAGTGCAGTGGCGCGATCTCGGCTCACTGCAAGCTCCGCCTCCCGGGTTCACGCCATTCTCCCGCCTCAGCCTCCCAAGTAGCTGAGACTACAGGCGCCCGCCACCACGCCTGGCTAGTTTTTTTGTATTTTTAGTAGAGACGGGGTTTCACCATGTTAGCCAGGATAGTCTCGATCTCCTGACCTCGTGATCCACCCGCCTCGGCCTCCCAAAGTGCTGGGATTACAGGCTTGAGCCACCGCGCCCGGCCAAGTTGGCTTAATTGAAAGCTGAGGTTCAAGCTCTTCCCTCCTCTGCTGTCTTTGGTATCACAAGATGTCCAATGTCTCAGACCCCTTAAGGAACACAGAAAAAGGCGCCACTCACACCCTTTTGGGTCTTCTTCCTGTGGAGGCTGAAGAGTTATGGATGGGGTCCTTTCAGGTCTAAAACTCTGTTCTCTTTGTATTGTATCAACTGATCTCTTTGGCTTTGGGGGGCACCAAAGATTACTTTGTTTTTTGGTTTTTATTTTTTTGAGATGGAGTCTGGTTCTGTCACCCAGGATAGAGTGCAATGGCACGATCTCGGCTCACTGCACCCTCCACCTTTTGGGTTCAAGCAATTCTCCCATCTCAATCTCCTGAGTAGCTGGGATTACAGGCAACCACGACCACACCAGGCTACTTTTTGTATTTTCATAGAGATGAGGTTTCACCATGTTGGCCAGGCTGGTCTTGAACACCTGACCTCAGGTGATCCACCAGCCTCGACCTCCCAAAGTGCTAGGATTACAGGCGTGAACCACTGCACCTGACCACCAGAGACACCAGCCTCGACCTCCCAAAGTGCTAGGATTACAGGCATGAACCACTGCACCTGACCACCAGAGACACCAGCCTCGACCTCCCAAAGTGCTAGGATTACAGGCGTGAACCACTGCACCTGACCACCAGAGACACCAGCCTTGACCTCCCAAAGTGCTAGGATTACAGGCGTGAACCACTGCACCTGACCACCAGAGATTACTTTGTACTGTGAGAGACTACGTGCTTTTGCATGTGTGATTGCTTAGTCACAAGTGAGAGCTGCAGTTCTGGAGGTGGCCGACAGCAGTGGTCTACAGTGAGTGTTTATTACACAGGAGGCTGTGCAGTTCTGGAGGTGGCCGACAGCAGTGGTCTGCAGTGAGTGTTAATTATACAGGGGACTGTGCAGTTCTGGAGGTGGCCGACAGCAGTGGTCTGCAGTGAGTGTGAATTACACAGGAGACTCTGCAGTTCTGGAGGTGGCCAACAGCAGTGGTCTACAGTGAGTGTTTATTACACAAGAGGCTGTGCAGTTCTGGAGGTGGCCGACAGCAGTGGTCTGCAGTGAGTGTTTATTACACAAGAGGCTGTGCAGTTCTGGAGGTGGCCGACAGCAGTGGTCTGCAGTGAGTGTTAATTATACAGGGGACTGCGCAGTTCTGGAGGTGGCCGACAGCAGTGGTCTGCAGTGAGTGTTAATTATACAGGGGACTGCGCAGTTCTGGAGGTGGCCGACAGCAGTGGTTCACAGTGAGTGTTAATTACACAAGAGGCTGTGCAGTTCTGGAGGTGGCCGACAGCAGTGGTCTGCAGTGAGTGTGAATTACACAGGAGACTCTGCAGTTCTGGAGGTGGCTGACAGCAGTGGTCTGCAGTGAGTGTTTATTACACAAGAGGCTGTGCAGTTCTGGAGGTGGCCAACAGCAGTGGTTCGGTGAGTGTTAATTACACAGGAGGCTGTGCAGTTCTGGAGGTGGCCGACAGCAGTGGTCTACAGTGAGTGTTTATTACACAAGAGGCTGTGCAGTTCTGGAGGTGGCCGACAGCAGTGGTTCGGTGAGTGTTAATTACACAGGAGGCTGGGCAGTTCTGGAGGTGGCCGACAGCAGTGGTCTGCAGTGAGTGTGAATTAAACAGGAGGCTGTGCAGTTCTGGAGGTGGCTGACACCAGTGGTCTACAGTGAGTGTTTATTACACAGGGGGCTATGCATTTTGCTGTGCATTTAGATCACTAAGACGCCGTGTAAACACTTGGAGAAATGTCTTAGTAGCAGAGTGTGCTGCGAAAGCATCGCGTGGCCCAGTCCCATGGTGCTTCCCTCTTTTGGGGGACATGGAATTCAGTATAAAAGTGGAATTCTTGATTTTTTTATTTTTTAGTTTTTTTGACACAGGGTCTCACCCTATTGCCCAGGCTGGGGTGCAGTGGCATATTCTCGGCTCACTGCAATCTCTGCCTCCTGGGCTTAAGCAACCCCCCTGCCTCAGACTCCAGAGTAGCTGGGACTACAGGCTTGAGCCACCATGCCTGGCTAATTTTCGTATTTTTTGTAGGGATGGGTTTTTACCATTTTGCCCAGTCTGGTCTCAAACTCCTGGGCTCAAGCGATCCACCTGCCTCAGCCTCCAAAAGTGCTGGGATTACAGGCATGAGCCACTGCATCCAGCCAGAATTATTGATTTTTTTAAATCTTTGATTTTAAAAAATGCTTTGCCTTCCATTTGTGCCTGCTTGCAACATATTTAAACTGCTAGGCCCTAAGAACTGCAAATGCTTTGTTGGACCTGTTCCTTAATGGGCTCCACCCTGAGCTCAGTGGCTCAGTTGGAAAACGAATAAATTAAAAGGTACTTATTTTAATGAAGTTGGTCTTCTTATAAAATCCTATGGTAAATTCTTATGATTTTATGTTATTTTAATCTTCTTCTAACACACTCAGACTCCTTTTAAAAAGCTTAAATTCTCTCTGTGTGCTTTGAGGTGTGAATTTACTACCCTGTGCTTCCTAAGTCTAGGTAAGGGCTTCAACGTGTGGGACAGATACACTTTAACCTTTTCCATATAGAAAGACACAGTTTGGATCCAACTTTAATTTTTTTTTTCTGGTTGTTGTTTTTTTTTCTTTTTCTTTTTTTTTTTTTTTTGAGACATGGTCTCACTCTGTCATCCAGGCTGGATGCAGTGGCACGATCATGGCTCACTGTAGCCTTGACATCCCAGGCTCAAGCAATCCCCCAACCTTAGGTTCCTGAGTAAGCTCGGACCACAGGTACACACCATCATGCCTGGCCAATTTTTTTTTTTTTTTTTTTTTTTTTTGAGATGGAGTCTCGCTCTGTTGCCCAAGCTGGAGTTCAGTGGTGTGATCTTGGCTCACTGCAAGCTCCACCTCCTGGGTTCACACCATTCTCCTGCCTCAGCCTCGTGAGTAGCTGGGACTACAGGCGCCCGCCACCACGCCCAGATACTTTTTTTGCATTTTTAGTAGAGATGGAGTTTCACCATGTTAGCCAGGATGGTCTCAATCTCCTGACTTCATGATCCGCCCGCCTCGGCCTCCCAAAGCGCTGGGATTATAGGCGTGAGCCACCACGCCAGGCTATGCCTGGCCAATTTTTAAAACGTGTTTGTAGAGATGGGGTCTCACTATGTTGCCCAGGCTGGTCTCAGACCCCTGGGCTCAAGCAGTCTTCCTAACTTGGCCTCCCAAATTGCTGAGATTACCAGCATGAGCCACCATGCCCAGCCAACTGTCCTTTTAGAGTAGTGAGTTTTACTGTCCCATGGCCAAAACTTTAAAATCAAATCCTTAAAGTCTTTATTTGTGTCTATCTGCATTATATATACATGTATACAAGTTTGTATACTGTCTATATGGTACCATTGACTGATAAATAAAGGAGCACTCATCAATTAAATAATCAACCCAAATG